CAGGACCTGCCGCTTTGCTGATTGCTTGGACATTGAGACGGGGGACGGGTCAGGACCTGCCGCTTTGCTGTTTACCTAAGACATTGACATGGGGTTGGAGATAAGGTCCTTCAGACTGATCCGGACGCTTTGCTGTTTGCCTAAGACATTGAAATGGGGCTGGAGATGAGGTCCTTCAGACTGATCCGATCGCTTTGCTGTTTGCCTAAGACATTGAAATGGGGCTGGAGATGAGGTCCTTCAGACTGATCCGATCGCTTTGCTGTTTGCCTAAGACATTGAAACGAGGCTGGAGATGAGGTCCTTCAGACTAATCCGGTCGCTTTGTTGTTTGCCTAAGACATTGAAATAGGGCTGGAGATGAGGTCCTCCTGACCGATCCGATCGCTTTGCTAAGTGAGTCAGTTTTGCTTGTTGACAAAGATCGAACTTTTCCCCTTGTGAGAATAGTCCAGGCTAGTGTGTTGATGATTGCATGGGGTTTAACTGAGAACAAACTGGAAAGTAAAAATTAACTAAGTAAGATACAGGACTAATGTTTTGTGATTAGGACAAACGAAAGATGAAAACTTTGGATGAACGAACCCTTGTTTTAAATTGGCTGAATGCATTGTGGAATTGATATGCTTGCTGGCAATGACTTGTCTTTTGTTCAGGCTCTATCTGTTTTCTGCATAGCAGGGTAGTCTGTTAGTGCTCGCCCTATGCTTGAGCGATAGGCAGGTAGATGCTCACCTTTGTTTTTGCATTTGTCTTCATATGCATGATTATTTTCGGTAGAACATTGGGTAGCCACTGAGTTCGTAGAAGTTTTTGGGAGCCTCTTTTCCTTAGGGGAGATGCTGCCAAAATTTCTACTAATACTCAAAGTTAGTCAAGTTTTAGGGATGTCAGCTAGGATAGGATACAATTTAGTCTTCGCAGACAGTAGGAAATTTGGAAGCCTTCCTTTCTAAAGGAAGTGCTGCCGAATTTTCTATTGAAACCAAAGAGTTAGTTTATTTTTAGATATTTTCAGAGTCACGAGTTTTTCTTTTGAGATTTGGTATAGTAAATATTCTTCGAGCACACTTCCCTAAAGGAAGTGCTACCAAAATTTTTGGGATTTTCATATCGTTACCGGACGCTACTACGAAGTAGCTTAGAGTGCAATACGGAGTTGGACTCCGTTAATGCGATAGACAATGCCTGTCTTGATCTTTGTGGCACAGGTCATTGCTACCTGCAAGTGTTTTTCGAAGTCTTGAGCTTCATCAACTTCTGCTATCGGACTGATAGCAGGTCGGTTTGCGACTCAACTCCTACCCACCATGATACCCATGCCCAAATGTTTGAGACCCTGTAGGCGGAAGGCATTTCCGTATGAACGATAACCTATCCTTGGAACCTCTCTTGAATGGCCGTGCAAAAGTTGTGTAAAATGGATCGGTCGGGCATACCTTTGTCAAATGGGGGTCGGAAAGGGGTGTGTGGGACATGAACCTGGGAGCAAGGGGGTTTACCACGTTTTGTGGCATTTGGATGTGAATTTTTCATTGGGTTTCATGTGTGTGCAGGTATGTATGGGAGCGAGGAAATCGCTCGTGGATTGAGAGTGGTATGGATGAATGAGTGCAAGGTGTGAGTGACAAGATTCAGCTATGGCTAGGGTTGTCAAGCCTCGGCCCCGGGGCCCCGGCGGGGGTCCGGGGGTCCGGGGGTGGGCACCCCCAGCCCCGGCTCCAGACCCCCTCCAAAAAAAAAAAATTCAAAAAAAAAAAAAAAATCAAA